CAAAAGAAATTTGATACTTTAACCACGAGTTCTCCATGTAATCCCGGCGAAAACGCTTGTATTAACGGTCAATTCGCTCAATGCTCTGGTAAAAACCAATGGTCTCTTACAAAATGTAACGCTGGTTTAACTTGTTGTGCGCTTCCCCTTCGAAACAAACCAGGCACTTCGGTCGCTTGTGGTAAGTTATGATTTACTATAAAAATTTGTATAATTATGTTTATTGAAATTGATAATGTACGTATATTTTTTAAACTTGGTGATTAATTTATTTTAATAGATACCAAGGAAGATCAAGCTGCAAGAATCAAAGAGGGAAAAGCTGCCTGTCCATAAACTTTTAAAATCGAAGCTGCAAGAATCAAAGAAGGAAAAGATACCTGTCCATAAACTTTTAAAATCGATTGTTGTTATCCAGAATTTAGAATTTATTATATATTTTTGTTTCATTGTTCGATTTATATAAACTGGTTTATATATTTCGGATACTTGTAATAAAAATTTGTACACATTTTTTTAATTCGATTTGTAAATTCTAAAAAATTTTTCATGTAACACATTGCATTCCATATTGTGACTTGATCAAGAAAACTTATTTTTGTACGCTTTAATAAAACTTCTTGAATCCTATAATTCTTAATAATGTTTGTTCGTAAAAAAAAAAAAATTATTATCAGATATTAACAAATGAATCCGTAAACCCGTAAATCTATAAACAACAAGATAAAAAAAGCCTCTTGCGAAATAGGTTGAAAATACATGACTAAATCCCTAAAATCGCTTAAGTCTGGACACTCTAACTCACATGGTTTTTGACAAAAAGATATTAATAATGCTTTGTAAAAAAAAAAAAAAAAAAAACACTACGTACGTAAAAACCTTATGATTTTCGTTATGATAATATGTAGCGAGAAATTTCAATTGCCTATCGAATATATTTTTTAATTATTAAGGAAAACTTACGTAAATACAATACAGATTTAAATTTTCACTATGCCAAAAACTCTGAAAATTTGATAATCAATTATCAAAATTACACAATGAGGATTCGAAAATCTTCAATCATTAGAAAATCAAAAAATCTGCAGGAATCTGCAGATTTTCTATGATTCACGAAGGCTCTTCAATCATTTAACGTTTGAAACTCTAGTAACCTTGAAAGTTACACAAAATCGTATGCATATCAATATAGATTACTATATCGATATCGGTATAGTTTGCAAACGGAAATACTCATTAATGTGAGTGATACAACAAAAAAAAAAAGAAAACAAAGTTTTGTGAATTAGAAACTTAGGGGATGTTTGAGGTTAGAGAAAATAGCGATAGGAGTAAATAATTATTTCATGTCCATAAAATTTTATTCCCGCCATTTATAATCAGTGCTTCAAAGACCAGGATTGGCAATGAAGTTTAATGTAGCTACCAGTGGACTCTAAATGGAACCAATGAAGTTAAAGCTAGTTTTTGAGCTCTATTCATTTAACTATTGCCAACCCTATCCAATACACGTAAACAGGAGGAACCGTTGATACGTCACAAAATCGTTACACAATTGATAAAAATTTTTTTTATATTATTTTACAATACTTTTTTGGAAGGCTCGCTTGACTTATCTTTTCTA